CCGGGCCAAGTAGAATGAAATCTCTGCATTCCTTAAGAATGCAGAGTTATTCGTATGTATGTTAATGGAGGGTGGTTGGGAATAGGGCCCGGGTGGGTCTCGTGCGTAGTCACCTCCTCGTGGTGAGATCTGGTAATTGATATCTTTTCACAAACATTAAAGGGTTACAAACTTTAATGTTTGTGAAACGACATCAAGCTAAGAACTACGCAACCTACAGTTCAGTTTAGATCGTGAAAATTTCGGTTCATTCTTTATTTCACGATGTAAACTGAACTGGAGGTAGAATTAGTTGATAAGTAAACTATTGGGCCCCCAGCGGGCCACCGATGGACGACGAGGGATGTCGCAGGGACATCGTGGGATGCGTGCGTCTCAGTTTCAAGTTGCGTGCGTTTAGTTTTAGTTAATCATAAGATAGTTAATATGTGTAAATTCACTGTGAGCGTATTCAGTAGAAAAACACGTTTATTAAACTTGAGACACCTCCTCTCTTCTCTTTTTTCGTTCGTTGTTACTATTGTTACTGTTATTGCACTAGAGATAGTTTTTCTGTCATTGCACTAGAGTAAAGTTACTTTAGTTACTGTCATTGCACAAGAGTAGAGTTACTTTTGTCACTGTCCTTGCACATTCTGTACAAGGGCACGTTTATTTAACTTGAAACGAAATCAGGGATTCCTTCTCTCCGCTCTTTTTTCGTTCGCTGTTACTATTGTTACTGTTATTGCATTAGAGTAGATTTTCCAACTTTCATTGTCAGTGTGTCAAGTCGGGAACTGTAGCCTTGTTGGAAAGGACTAGGTAGGTTCTTGTAGTCTAACGTCCCACGTAATTCGGTTCCAGTAATAGAGGATGAAGTGATCCTGTCTGAACAGGCACAATTAAGACGAGCATAAACATTGTGTTTGTGTTGTTGTTTTTTACTTCGAATTTCAAGCTCCGAGGCCTTCTACGTTTTACTTTATTTGAGAACTGAACAATTTTATATATTAAACAGTAAAATTATCTTAACTATTAAATACGTAGATTCTTAATAAACTGTTGTTGAATTTAGTATTATAATTGTTAAGAATTACACAATATAAAGTTAAGGAATCAACAAATAAGTAGAAAATGTTATAATAGAAGTGTATGAATAAAAGCATATAACAAAATACATACATATATATGTATGTATTTGAGAACTGAACAATTTAATATATAACAATGACTTAGTCAATTACTGGTTGGAATTGAAATTAAATTTTGGTATAAAATTATAAATGACTTTTAGCATAGTATGTTCCACTTAAACGTTTATGTGATATTATTTCTTTTATTGTTGAAAATTATATGTAATAACTATTTGGTTATCTTACCTCGAGTTGATGCAAAAAATACATGTTTTATCTTAAAAATACAAAACACAAACACAAATCTAACTATTGATGTAATTTTTTGCCTGAGAACTTCTGAATAGTACGTCTTTCTGGATAATTCTTCTGAATAACACTTTCTTTTTTACGGACGAGGTGTGCTTCCTTCCGCCATGTTCCCGCTTTAAACTCGATCGTGAGAAATATCGATATGTTCGAGACACGTAGGAGGTATGTTCCGTATTTCACCGTTGGGGCGCTGTAGTCGCACGTTTTGCAGGTGATACTGAAAATAAAAAATAAAATACTCTGGTCCAAATCAAATACACAAAATTCCTGAGAAATTCTTAAAAAAGAACGAAAATATTCATACATTAGATAAAAAATTGTCAATACTTTAAACTGTTAATAATTTCGTGAAAAATAATTGCAGAACAATTAACTTGATTTTATTTTAAAGAATGGGATCTCCACTTTAACAATCCTGAATTTATTTCGATCAAAGATATTTATTTTTACATCATGCAGCAAATGTAAAAATAAAAATACTTTTTTTCTTGAAAATTGTAAAAATTTAAACATCTCGTCGAAAAAAAGTTTTCCCATCTCTGAACAACTGTTATGATCAGATTAATCTTAAATTGAAATCTTCCCTTTAAATTGAGCCCTTAAAATCTGTACTATTTGTTTTCGCCATTTTATTGAGCTTTAAACAGTAATTCATTAATTGTTAACAAATATAACAACAGATGAAAATAATTTACACGATACGATATAACTTTATTTGTGGAAATATATACCAAACAATATTTGTGGGAACATTTTTTTGGTATTTCCAATCTTTTATATAGTCAAGTTTATAAGATTCACTCAAACTCTGAAGTTACACACTAAAATAAATAAAAAACATTATATTTAATTCATATCTAATTATGTTGTTAAAATATATATTTCAATCAATTTTTTAATACCTTTAAATAGATATAAATAATCAAATATATAATGAATTTTTCATCCCAATTTCCATCAATCACTGCTTTAAATTGTTATATTCCTTTATTATCACCACGCTCAATTCAATAAATAACTCTCGAAGTAGATGTGACAATACTGTCCATATTTTTTTTTATTTTAATTCTCATCACTAGTAGTGCTGCAGTGCAAAACTTGCCTAAATCGGTATGACAGAATGTGACACGAAAATGGTAAGCGAGTCCTAGAACCCTGAAATCATAGAACAAAAAAATATATTGTATGCAAGGTCTATTTATACACTTCGTCTGTGGTTTTGAGACTAATCTTTCATACCATGAAGAAGAAAATTTCATACAATACCATGTCTATTCTGTCCTTAGTCAATGCCTGTAGCCCCTTTGTGATTTAAAATGAATTGTTTACATTGTGAAATTTCTAACGAACTTGAGATATAAATGTATCTCTAAAATTTGCAGAAATACGCATTTCATTCTGCTTGATAAAAAAAAATTTTGTGAAAAGTGTATATATTGAGAAATTGAACTAACATCCGTTCGCTTAAAACATCTAAACAAGAAAGCAGATATGAAAGAAGGTCACAACGCATCTAACATAACAAATGATGATTATATTCATGAAAATGGAGAGGTAACTTCATCATTATATATTTTGTATAATATTTGGGAATCATTATTATTATTGTTTTGTTGTATGACCGAAAATGTCGTATATAAGAGGTTATGTTTTTGTTTATTCAAGAAGTATTTCACTTTCTAACTCTAACTGACAATAATGTTTCATTGTTTAGTAATATGTATATATTGTAAATTAAATTGGCATAAGTTTATTTATACACTTATAATAGGCTGCTAATACAGTGGAATCTCCAGCAAAGCAGAAATTACGTGGATGGCTAAATCGAAACTTAAGAATAAAAATGACAGATGGCCGTGTTCTGATAGGTGCATTCTTATGTACTGACCGTGATGCCAATGTGATTTTAGGATCATGTTCAGAATTTTTGTCCGAGGATCATACAGAAGCAAGAACTCTAGGTTTAGTAATGATACCCGGTAGACATATTGTAACCATACATCTTGATGCTTGAGCAATTATGTTTGCTTCATTTGAAATTAACTATACAGAATTTATTGTCCTTCATTTTTTTTAAATTATATAGATTCTTATTACATCTGTATTTCTAGAAATATATATTCCATGATGCAATTAAGCTTAAAACAATTAATGATATGTGCATGTAATTTATTTTCAACATGTTCCTACTTACTGTACAAAAACTTAAACATAATTTTTAAACTGTAAACCAAAAATCAAATTAAGTAGGCTCATTTGATTTTTCGTCTGCAGATTCGTTACTTGTTACTTTATTGGCTGTAAGAGAATATAATAAAATTAAAAGGAATCAGTTTGTTTAATAGTATTATTAATTTCATTATACTTACAATTTTCTATACATTCCTTTTGTACATCACAGTACTCTTGTTCAAGTAACATAATGTAATTAACTTCTTCCTTTATAATTTTTAATGCATCATCTATTCTCTTAGTAAGAGTGAAAGATAGGTTGTCCATTCCAGATAAGTAACTTAGTTCTGAAGCAGCTACTGCCATTTTGTGAACATACTCAACATATCCTGTTAACTTCTGCAAAAACATATATTTTTAATAAATCTAATATGCCAATATATATTCATTCTATTTCTTCTTACAGTTAACATTTCTTTTTTACTTTGTACTTGTGACCTTAATTCAACTATCATATCCCAATGTGAATCAGTAACATTAAATTCCAGAGTTTCCCTTGAAAGTGTGATTAATTCATTTAACAATGCCCTGTAAAATATTTTATCACATTGTCAACAAAAACTTAATTAATCCTCTTAATTTTAAACAAAAATTTACATACTTGTATTCATTACTTGTTTTCATTATTGTTGTACATGCAATAGTTAAGGATTGAGTTGCACTGTTAACAGCATCTATGGTTGATTGTTGTATCATATATTCAGGAGTCAATTTTTTTACATCAACAGGTTCAAATTGTAATTTATCATTTGCTGTAGGTTTATTAGTTTCTGGTTGATTTACAAATGTGAAACTTGTAGCATACTAAAAAAGAAAAAAAAAAGTATTAAGATAAAATACAAAAAGAAATTAAAAGTTTCAAAATTTTACCATAATAGAGCCAGCTCTTTTCAATAATACTTGAAAAAATTGACGCAACGACATGATTTAAGAAATATTTCGTTCGTTTTTATGATACTATTAGAGACAGGGTTATGTCGTTATTCTGAATAACGCGAATTAAATAATTAATATATTATGAAAAGTTAGTTTTTGATTCGCATATTTAAAATTGTAACATATTTTATTTTTATATGCATAAAAATTCATAAAATAGATAGAAGTTAATGTCAGAACAACTTATATTTATACTTCTAAACTATGTATGTATTTTCTTGCGACTGTAGAATAATCTAGCGACGTAATGCGAAATTAAATGTAACCACAATTTTCAAATTTTAAAAATATCATTCGACAAAAATCCTAATATTTCTTAAGACAATGAAAATAATGTAATTAAGATATTTCATAGCTTTTTATTGTAATTGTTGTAAGTATTAAATAATGTAAGGCTTATTACATTTTATGTATAATACAATAATTATTTAAATACAGAAAATATCTTGAACTTTACAAGATTTAAAATGTTGAAATTTTCTATAATACATTAAAAAATTAAAAAAAAAATTATGAATCGTAAATTAGTAAGTAGTTTCGATAATATGTAAGAATAAACAAACAATTATAATCTTATTTGACATTGCATATAATTATAGGAAGACTTTTTGTATCCATATTTTCTTACAATTATCAAATTCGACATTAAATTTACTAACTGAAAGTAACTAATTCTTCTCCTCCTTTATTTATATCCTATAGGCTGCTTTATTCGGCCAAGAATAAATAATATAATTTATAAATTTTAATTATAATTACATTCGTTTGGAATGGTTTTAATCAACTTATAACAAATTTTTAAAGAGAAGCAAATTATTTTACACAAAGAGTGCAACTTTCTTTAAACAGATAAACATTGTCAAATTTTACTTCACTACATTTAATTCACATTGTAGTAAACTGCTAGAATTTTGATTATAACAAAAATAAATATATACTTGTTGCGTTATAAAATGAATTATATTATAGATGTAATGGAGCATGTGTAAAGTGTTGTGAGATTTAGGCATTTTCAAGTGAGGATTAAGTAATCAGGAATGTAGGAAAAAATGCGTAAAAACTGAATTTTTTTTTAGTAAAGAAGTCCCATATGTATGCATGTGTAATTATAATGTTTGATATAGATGTTTGTAGAAAATCAGTTTTAAGCTATAGCATATAGCATATCTAAGAATATAGTATCAAGTATCACAATTAATTAAATATATTCACAGTAGATGAAGTCCGACCAAATAAAATGATACGTCAATTTGTAAATAATGACTTTATACTTATAATTTATTTGTTTAAATGTAATAAATGTAGTGTTTTTTTTTTCTTTTTGACAGTAATCGCTTAAAATCATTAAATTATTCAAATTTGTTTCTGCTTGGCACTTAAAATTTCTTATATGATTTTTTATGTAATGGTCGGCTTTCTTTTCTTGTAACTTGTGTGTAAAACGTATATATAATAAGATAAATCTATTTCCTTTTGTACGAAAAATGGATTATTAATATCTGTATTAATTTTATACAAATATACGAAATTAAATAAGATAACACTTAATATTCACATTTGCAAAATAATTCATCCAGCCACAATAACACAATTTCTCGAATTTGATTTTGGTTTTTAAATGCACTCATAAACCTGTCCTATAATGTAATAAATTATCTAATTTATTAACCGAAATGCGATCGGTCAATAATGAAAGTCACACACTTTTAAATAAATTTTTTTTTAAAGTTCTTGATGTATTTCTTTTTGAGTACTTTCATGAGTCATCTCAGATTCGTCATCCTTTGACGAATCTGTTGATTCTTCTGAATCTACTGATTTTTCATTTTGTACTTTTACATTTTCAGATAAATCTTCGTTTTCCGTTTGAGAATCAGTTGCCGATTTAGGAACAGATTCTTCCGATCCTTCTTTTGTGTTTGTTGTATTCTCATTTGTACTCTCTGTATGATTTGTAACAGAGTCTTGCTTTGGTCGCCATATCTTTGCCTTATTTATAAGATACTTCATTTCTCTATCAAGCAATGCCATTTTATTTGCAATATCACGAACTTTATATTTCACTGATTCGTGCAAAGCTGTCTCAGCAAAAGATTTGACAACTGTATCATAATATTCCTACAAATTTTAATTATGTGCAATTAATTATTTAATATATTTATAACAAAACGTAAGTATATTACGTAAGTATACTTACCTGAGTTTCATTAATTACTTTCTCTAACATTTCTATCTCTACTTGGGTAAAGATTTCGCTCGATAAGCTCAAATTGCGCATATTATTCAAAAATGTTGTGCTTGCATTTAACATAGAAGTCATGCCTTTTAAAACTTCCGGGCGTTCTCTATGTTCAAACACGCGTTCATATACATCATTAGTAAGTTTCTGAAGTTGTGACAATTTCTCCTCATATACTTCAGCAGTTACACTAAATCCATCTTCGTATAACCATTCAGAAATTTCAGAACATGCTTTCAATATATTTTCAGCTTCTTGAGAAGTAGCAGCAGCGGCATATTCTTCAGATTCTAATTTTTGTTGAGCATCAATTATAAATGTTTCTAAGTTATTTAAAGCTGTTTCACGTTTTACTTTCTCAAAATCATATACATCTAAACGATGCAATCTAAAATAATTATATAACATTCAAATTATACATATTGAATAATAATATTTTACATAAAATTATTATTCAATATGTAGTTATACTTACTTCTCTTGAGATTCAACAAATTTATCTCCAGAAAGAATCTGTGATCCTAATTTGATTTCATCAGCTTTAATAGGTTCTTTAATCGTAACAACCGTGGCCTTTTTTTCTTTCTCTTTTTCTACTTTCTCAGTTTTATTTATTGTTTTATCCTCAGTAATCGTGCTTTCATTTTTCTTTTTTGTTTTATCTGCTGGTTCCTTTTGCAAATCAGGATATTCAGATTCTTCATTAACTGGCTTTATATCTTCTTTTAATGATTCCTCCGTTTTTCCTTCTTTATCCTCTGACCCTACATTTTTTTTATTATATCTATCTCAATATTTCAATTATATTTACAAGAAAGTTATGTCAAATGTAATTACTTTTTTACATTACAATCTTTTAAAAAAGTTGTAATGCATTTAACAAATTACACTTATTATAAGTGTTTTAACTTTCTTTCATATCATCTAATATTTTATAAATGCTTGCAAAAAATGGCTCTATATTTAAAAAAAAAAAAAAGTTTTCCTAATGATTTAATATTTTCTTCACTACATTCTTTACGATATTTATTTTAAAGAAAAGAAAAAAAAGAGTATATCATTTTTTGCAATGCATTCCACACAAACCTGCAAAAAGTTTACTAATAGTTGAGCCAAGTATTGAGAAAGTACCCTCTTCTTCATCAGAAGTTGAACTTGATTTTTCTGATACTAATTCTACATTCACCAAATTAAGTATGCCACTCTCATCCATGGCAAAATGCGCTTTAATTCCTTTACTTTCTGCTCCATCTTTAGCATGTTTTTCTAAGGCTTCATTTATACCAGATAAAGTTATAGTAGACAAATTAAAATTACCAATGACACTAAAATTAAAAGACTACACTAATAAACATAATTATCAACATACTTCAAACGAGAATTATTGAATATACATACGCTATTTCATTAGATGGTAAGTAATCTAATTCAGCATAATTAATATGAAATTGGAAATTTTCTGTGTACTTATTAAACGTAATAATTTTCTTTTGAGGATAAGGATTCATTTTACTAAATAATGATTTTTTAACCTAAAAGTATTATATACATTTAAATAATATATTTAGCTTTAATAAAAATTAAAAGATAGTAACTTACTTGTTTCACTCTATTATCAACTGTTCTATCAAAAACAATGTGTATAGGAAATAATACAGCATCTTTAATAACAAATTTCTTTACTTTAAACCCTTTACTAAGATCTGCAGCTTTATATACTCCTCCTAATGCAGCTGCCTCATCTGTGTTGATGTTTTTAGATAACTCAACTGTTAAATACTGATTTAGATGCTCTTGTATTTTTGGCATTCTAGTGGCAGCCCCAACCAATACAACTTGAGATATAACATCCATTGTTAAACCTATAAGATTTATATTAATTTATGATAATACATTTACAATAAAACATTTGAATTTAATTTATTTCAATATACCTAATGTCTTATTTACTAATGTATTTCAATGTACCTGATGTTTTTAAAGCAATTTTAATAGGATTTGCTACTCGTTCAAATAAGTCAGCACAAAGTTGTTCCAATTTTTCTCTGGTAACTTGCAATCTAAAGTCATGTTCTTCTATTAATCCTTCAATTTGAGCGAAATGGTCAGTATTTGCACTCAACACATTCTTAACACGGCCAGCTTCTTTAAAAAGTTTTGCCATTGCTCTTGGATTGCTAAATACAGAGTTTGTTGTTTTATTTAAAGCATCAAATTCCTTTGCCAAATGATGTTGTAATCTAATTTGCACTTCAAGTCCTCCTAAAGTACGATCATAACCCACACCCAAAATAGTAACATGAGGATTAGTTTCAACGAATCCCTTTTCCTTCGTTTTCACATTTTGATAACTGACAATAGTTGCAGTTGTACTACTAGCACCCATGTCGTAAAACATTACATAATGTGCAGTGTCATTTATTTCTTTACTACGGAAAATTCCATAATTTAATGCAACTGCAGCATAATCATTAATAAGTTGCAAAACCTTGATCCCTGCAAGATCAGCTGCTTGCATAAGAACTCTTCGTTCAATTTGATTAAAAAATCCTGGAACAGTTATTACTGCTTCACTGATCTTTTGGCCAGCTGAATTTTCAGCAAATTCTTTTCCTTTATGCAAAATTTGTGCAAGCAATTCCTCTGGGGTATATGTGGTATTTTCATCCAATCTAAATGCAATCGTCTTACGTTCTTCATCGGATATGATATCGTAATATGGAAATCTTCTCTTATAAAGCTCTACCATAGGATTATCTATACTTTTTCCTAACAGATCTAGAATATAAGAAAAACTATTTTGGGGTGATCTAATACCCACTACTTGAGCATCTTCTCCAAAACTTCTTTCTCCATTTCTAAATGCAATTGTGACTGGTGTTTTCCTCTTTGATTCTTTATTTAAAACTATTTCCATAGGAACACCAGGCTAGATAAATCATTAATTAATAATGTCAATGATACAATAAATAATAAAACTTATTGAAAATTGAATGATAATGCATAAAGTTTACTTACTGAAACAATAGCAACTTTCATTGATTCACTGCCCATATCAATACTCATAACAGCAACCCCATTACTAAGGCCAATAAAAAATGCAATAGTAATCAATAGTAACCAAATAATGGACATACTTAGTTTACTTAGTTCCATCTATAATTTAAAACAGATAAAAATATATGTATAAAACTTTGTATTGTTACATATGTACGTTCATAATCTGCAACACGCTTAAAATTAATTTTAAAGAGAATATTTACATGTTTTAATTCATCAAATATTGTTGCTTAAATATTTCACGTTTATTTTAAATTAAAAGATATGTTTCAAAGACGATTTGGACACAATATTACAATAAAAACACGAAATTATATCATAAATTTTATGAGTAAAAATAAATATCTATGTAAAATTTCTTAAAAAATTGATGTTCATTTACAAAAAGCAGCGTGGAAGTTGTGCAAAAAATAATTCTCTTAATTGCACGAGAATTTTCATTAAGACTGTCAAATTTGGTTATGCTAATCAGAAAATTCTAAACGACGTTACTCACTTTTTCTTTTTATTCTAAGAATATTAGTCTGACGACAAAAGTACTATAATCTTCAAATCATTAGACATAAGCATGCGTACGTTTCAATTTGTTTAAAACAAGAAAAACAACGTACACTTCTTACTTTTCGTCAAACTGAACAAGAACCATGTGTTTGTGTGGCACAACGGGATTGGTAAAATAAAATGGAAGAAAACGTTCATATTGGTCCGCGTTGACAAATCAAAACCAATATCAGTTATTTGTCCCCCACTATTACAATATCTAATTTCGAAGAGTCAAAAAAGAATTTCGCTATTTTTCTTAATATTTAACTTCATTTGTAATTACCATCTTTTAATTGCAATCATAGTTGTAACACGGGAGAATTAAATAAAAAATAAATTGGTGATTTATTTAAAAAATTAATTGGTGATACAGCAATGTAAGATTTATTATAAATTATATCAATGTTTATAACAAAAGCAATGTTCGTATATATGTTATATAATAAAAAAATTACAACAAAAATGTTGTTGCTTTATTAAACAATATATTATATAATTATATAACTTGTATTATGCACATATGTAATTATTTGAATTTGAAATAGTGACTGATATAATTAATGATTAATAAACATGAAAATAACTATTTATATAAATAAAAACAAAGAGAGTATACAACTTTACAATGAATTAATGCAATTCATTCGCAATACAATATGGATAATTATTTGTTCTTTGTAAAGTGCTTTATCTTAAAATTCAATAGAGCTAGAAACTTCTGCGCAATTATGTAAAAATGTTTATAATATACAAATACTGAGCAACCTTATAGCTCTTCTGTTCTCCCGAATTTATAGATCAGAGATCCCAGAAAAATAAACATATTTTGTAAAAAAAGACCTACACCAGGCCAATTATGTTGTGCACCTGAAATGACAAATTAATGATGTTAAAATGATACAGACAAACATTAGGTAACAAATAACATACAAACCGGCAGCTACAAAATCTGCAAATAAAATCCAACAGGCTGCAATAACAGCAGCAAATCCCATTACAAATCCAACAAATAACCAGCCTCTCGCGCCTCTGGCACCAAGATAACCACCACTGAAGGTATCGCCTCGCATTTGTGCATTTGTCACAGAATTTATCCTGAAATTATGATCCCTAATTTTTATATACACTATCCCAAGAAATATCATACCATAAATATAAACTTACATGAACAAAGATATAGTCCCAAATACTCCACATACATGATACGCCTTTGACATTTCGCCAGGATACTTGGCATTAGCATCAATTATAAACCACCATCCTACAAAAAACTGGAATTACAGAATACAATGATTATTATATATTGCATTATTCATACTGTATATTACTGTGAAAAGTAAAGGAAATTTTAACTATTGATATATACTAATCAATGAATAACAAATTAATATTTATTAAATTGGCAATTTATGTATAATTAAATAAAAAATATATTGTTATGTGTTACATCAGTTTTATTTAGAATAATATAAACTCTGATGTTTACCAAAGTTCCAGCGAACATAGACACTAATACATTCCGTTTATTGTCTATTTCAAACCATACACACGTTGCGTTTTGTAGATTTTCCAAAATTGACGTCATTTTTCAAAAATTGTAGTAAAATAACCCGAGAATTGAATATCACGATTAGACAGCTAACCTAAATGACAAGCATCAGTTACACAAACGTGTAAGTATAAGCTTTTATGTATACCTATATATAACCACAAAAATATTACAATCCATGAAAATTGTTCTTAAGATTGTAAACTTCTTCTTTACTACTATTTACTACTATTTCATTTAATAAACATTATAATTTTCACTACTTGATACTGAATTTGTAGCAGATAATACTAATGTTACTAATATTTATAGTAACATTTCATTGAGTTACGTGGTACGATTTAAAACAATAAAAAGGGAATCAACACGCATCTGCAATTACGAGCTGTCAGCAACAAGCTACGTATTTTTACAATTTAGCATTTGTCTGATTAGGAAACTATTCAGAAAATGACAGTAGACTTAGGTTTCGTAGAGAAATGCGAATCTTGGCAATTAGAAAGCAGATTTTTCCCAAGCAAAGTCGGCGGTAAACCAGCCTGGCTTGATTTAAAAAACATACCCGGAGAGAAGGATCTTTTGTGCAAGTATTGCAAAGAACCTTGTATCTTTTTATGTCAAATCTACGCACCATACGAGGATAACGAAGATGCCTTTCATAGAACGATATTTGTCTTTATATGTAAAAAAGTCGAATGCTCAAAATTGAATGAGAATGGAAATTTAAAAGTCTTTCGTTCCCAACTACCGAGGATAAACGAATTTTATTCAAGCGAACCTCCTGTAGAACAGAACGACTGGAGGACTGATATTGGTATGTATCATTAAAAATTGATAATCTTCTTGTTTAAACGATCTGTAACAGTAAAGAAACAGCGTGAATAATTTTAGGTGTAAACAAGTGGGTAAAAACATGTCACATCTGTGGAATATTAGCACTTAGTCATTGTTCTAAATGTAAGATTGTTAATTATTGTTGTCGTGCTCATCAAGTATATGACTGGAAGCATGGGCATAAAGAGACTTGCAGCAGTAATAAAATAGTAATGAAAAAACCTGAAATCTTGTTTACCGAATATGAAATAGTAATAGAAACGGAAGACAAAGAAGATGCAAATAATACAGATACAGATTTAATCAAAGAAAAAGAAGAGATTAAAAAGTACGAAACAATGGTACAGAAAGGTGAAGCAGGAAGTTTTCAAAATGAAGATGTACAAAATGAATTGTTAAATATGGTTAATCAGAAAGAAGACAAAATATTTTCCAAATTCCTTTCGACTATTGATAAATATCCAAATCAAATATTAAGGTTCAAATTTTTTTATATTATTTTCCTTACTTCATGAAAAGAAGAGTACCAAATATAGAAAATTTTACATGTTTACAGATACAGTAGAGGTGGCAATGTTTTATACATTTCAGGAGAGAGTAAAACTGATGAAATACCAAGGTGTTCAGAATGCAATGGAGAGAGGCAATTTGAATTTCAGGTAAAATAAAAAATACATTTTGTAAATAGAAGTTGCGTACGTAACTAATAAGATTGTTTGTTATAGATTATGCCTCAATTATTGAACTTCTTAGAGCTTGGAAATCCACTAAAATGTATTGATTGGGGCATTTTAGTAGTATTTACTTGTATAAGATCATGCGTACCTAAAAATGGATATAGTATAGAATATATATGGAAGCAAGACATCATAGAAAGTGATTGTGATAAAAATTCAAAAGAGTCGAACACAAATTAAAATATAACAACATAAAAGCTACAATTACCTTGTAGAATAATTTTAATGGACCAAAATAAAATACATGGTTATTTTAATAATAATAGTTTGAGTTTTACATTCCAGAAATAATATAATATATCATAAGTAAAATTGATAAAAAATTAAAGTAAATATCTTTCCATAAAATTAGGTCACAAAATTGATCGTTCGCAAGATAAAAATAATGTTCATATATATATATTGAACATACAATGAATATAAAAAAGATAATTGCTAATACAAGACGATATAATGAAATAATATATCAAAGTATCAAATTTCTTGAAAGATTGTTAGCAATTATAGCATTTTAAAAGAAATATTAAAATAAAATGTATAGTCATCATGTACAGTCATATATAACATATCAATTATGGAAAAGTTATTATATGTAAAAAAAATATCTTATATAATACTATATTAACTTCTTGTGTCAAACTTTTTTAATACTGTTTCGCTGAATTTTCGTTTAATTCGTTGATAGAGGTAGTTTAATTATGTTAATCATAAAATTATAGTACACGATGTCGAATTATTTTATCAAAGAAAGTAAGAAAGATGAACTATCTTGACAATATTGTTTGAAGTACTTTAAGGTAATATTTGTCACAGCTTTTGTTAAATTATGAGACAAATCAAACGGATCTTGCACACACAATGGAGAATCAATTCGAAAATATTGTGGTTTTTCCGAGGTTTGTAGATAGTTGATGTAAGGCTTCATTTCTTCTGGTAACATTTTTATGTCCGTAAAATCTTTTTTAGCTACAAGTTTGCCCATAAGTGGACAAATAATGTAATGTCGATAATCAAAATTTGCATAAAATTTAAAAAAACCCAGTAATAATGTAGAAATAGGTTGCTCAGATTTATTATTATCTTTTGGTTGCGCAACACCAGTTTCCCACCCTGAAATAAAATTTGAATTCAATAATTATAATTAAGAAAAACAAGATCCATTTTGATAGATTTATGATATGTCTTACCAGATATAAGTTTAGAATTATTTTTCTCTTTTATTAATTCGGCAACACTTGGTAAATAAGATTCTGTTTGTAAGTAGAATATAACAAGACAACTAAGGGCATAATTTATTAAACCATGTCTTCCAGGTAAATTAAAATTAGATAACCATTTTTTTACAAATAATATTAGTTTTCTACAGGGTAAATATGCATCATTGAAAGATCTGAAAATGATAAATTATTTAAATAAACATATCAATCTATTTATGTATAAAATTAATAAAAAATAAAGTACAATACCTTATTAGTTTAGAATTCTCAACAGAAAGACCATTTGTAACAGAAATGTCACAGTGTAAACCATTTCGTTTATATGTTAATTTCATTATAGGAATTCTCGTTTTTTCCACTATCTCCCTTATTTCCCACTCATTTTTAGGTAATCTTTCTTTAATAGTTCTAAGATAAGATTCTGCTAATTTGTCATCCCCAACTTCTTGATTATATGTGTTATCTATTAATATATAACAATAAAAGTGACAATCAGAACTTTATGAATGTTTCATATTTCTATGATGTACATGTCATACTTTTAAAATACTCACTACAGTCAAGATATATATCTATATCACTATCTACAAGTGCAAGTCCAGTAACTCTTGAGCCAAATACAAATACTTTAATAGTTGGATAAACAGATTTTAAACTATATTCTAAGGATTGTTTTATTTCCTGTGGTACACTGTCTAATAAATCTGATTGTTGGAATAATACATTAGAAACTTCATCAGCTTGTATTAAAATTTCTTTTATACTATCAGGAAAGTCCTCAATCATAAAATCTTTACTTTTTAATAAATATTTATGTAACTTGTCATTACAATGCTTTGTATAACAGTCTTCATTTCCCAACCATAACACAGTACATGGAATACAAAAATCAAATATTTGATCTTCTAAAAGTGGACTGTGTTGTTTGTCAATATGTTTTACAAATTCAATTTTGTGATCAAATCGTTCTGAACATAAAGCACAACAAAATCTCTGAATACTATACCACAAATTATTAACATCTTGTGATATAGAATCAAAAATGGCATCTATAACTTTGGTGAGTTTTTCATGTTTTTCTCTGTGACATTTTTCTTTAATATGTGATGTAAAGTAAGACATATCATTTTTGACAAAATTTCCACAAGGATAACATTTCACTTCATATTTTGATATTTCCTTCATATACTGACTTGACAATTTATCACAGTTTATATCCTTTTTAATTTGATTAATTTGCATTTTATGTTGTTGTAGGCATATATGTTCATATACAAAATATAATTCTTCTGGAACCTTTTGATTGCAGGCTATACAATAGAAGTGTGTACTATCATATGGCATAATTAATCTTAAATTTATTTTAATATTGTTCAATTTTTCTTGAACAGTGTACATTTTTTTTTCTATTTTCAAATATTTTTCAGTATACAGTTCATTTAGACGTTCTAATATATTTAGAGATTTTTTTTTTGGTTTGTGTATTTTTGATATTTGTTTGTCACTCAGAATGTTTATAATTTGTACACATACATCTTCGATTATAGCAAAATCACATTGATTATCACTAGATAGTTTATTCAGTTTTACTGTATGAATATTATTAATAGTAAACCGGTTACTTTCATATATATCTGTAAATATCTTATTTTCATTTGAATCATCTCTCAGAGATATAGTATTCTTTAATACTTTACTTGTGTTATAATCTACATTATAAATATCATTAATTGAGCTATGGTTTTCACTTATATCTGTTGTATTATTTGTATTTGTACCACTTTCATAAGTATCTAAATTTGCATTTTGAGCAAAATTGTGCTTGTGAGATTTTCCTTCGGTATGTTTCAAAATATTGTGTAATGAAACAATATAACAGTTACATACTGTACATAAAAATATAATTCCAAAACATTTAATTCTATTGTCTATTAGTTTTTGTTTTATCAGTTCTAAGCAATCTTTATTGCATAGAACTGAAGAAGTAGAAATTTTGCATTTTGTTGTATCTGAAACTTCATGTTGTATTTGATCACAATCTAATTCCTTTTCTATTTTATTCATTTTATAATTATATTTTTTCATATTTTGATCTTCTAATGCTTTATGTGATTTTTTTCTAATATGTGGTAAAATATGATCAAACGAACGCAAAGAACACATACATAAGTCACATGTATATGTTCCTTTATCAAAAGTAACATGGTTAAACGTATAATGTTCAGATAAAATTATTTTATTATTTACAAGGATTTCATAACAATTATAAAGCTTTTTAAAATTATAATAAGCTTTAAAAGTTATATTGAAAGACATACATAGATATCTGTCATACTCATTAATATATGAATCATATTCTTGGTATGCAATTAAATTTTGCAACAATAATTTTATGTCAAACACATTTGTTTCATGTATTTCTAATTTATGTTTAAATTTATTGTTTGGGTGCATTATTATTGAATTTATTTCATCAAAATTTATAATATTTTTCCGCCACCTTCGGATATGATTTGCACATTCAATATGTTGCAAAACACCACGTAAATCTTTAAAACTTTTTCGACAAGGTATGCATATGAAACTATACTCTGCAATTACATATGCAGTTTTACTCTTATTTGTGATTTCTTGATACGTTTCTGTAATGTTATAATGCTTGAACATTTTAAATATCTGATCACACCTTGCTATCATATGTTCTTCTCTATTAATATGATATAAAATATCTTCAAGGCTAGCTTTTATACACATGCATAAATAACAAACGTATTGCCCATTATAATTGATTATATTATGTTTCACCAATGTTTTGAACATTTTAAATCTTTTATTATGAAATTGCTCATACAATAATTATAATAAACAATTATTTTTTATTGTATGATAAAATATATTTGATATTAAATATTTAATAAATTATATGCGGTATTTATTGTAAAAAAATTACCTAAGTTACTTTTTAAATGCACGTAATTCAGTCTCATCTTCTGTATGCAATATTGTAATATCCCATTGCACGATTTTGTGAATCACTTTTGATAAAATCATAGGAAAACAATGTCAACTGACGAATTCGTACATTGTCCAATATGTCCGCACAACATCTTAGTATTCATATTGCAGGTCTTTCATGATTCCTTCCATTTCAATTTCAAGTTCTATGGTTTTCTGTTCTCTGGCATCCACGATGGAGATAATTGCTCCACCTGGTGTCGAGTGTTCGTCATTCAACATATTCCGACATTCTATATCCAACAGTCGCAAGTGGTCAACTAGTCGCAGATATGTAGCGACCTATAGTTCCTCGAGTACGAGTTTCGAACACCAACTTGTACAAGCCACAAGTCAATCGATATTCGATGTTAAGCAAAGTGCGCTAGAATTGGGTGGGGGACCGTCCAGCCATGCGAGTAGTTAGAACAACAAGCGTCTGGGGTGAAGAAGTCGCTACCATCAACCCCACTGATGAGTCTAGGCAGCGACTCTGAGACGAAACGCACAACCTTTCCTCACCTTATCCACATCATCACTTCCTACATTATCCTCGCATCATCATAAACACTTACAATCCTTTCAGATAGATCGATGGCGCTTATTAGATTAATACCACAAACGCAATGAAACATATTTGAACTCGTTTAGACATAAAATAGCAATCAAGTGAATCAACATAAATGATTCTTCCTATAAAAAAAATTAGTTTCTCATTTTCTATAATTACAACCATTTCTCTCGTAATCTCCAAAGCAAAACAAATTGTAAAATTTGATATATTATTATTTTTATATTTTGTATAAAATTAAATATATTTTTACCGAATTCAACTGTAATAACTCAATAATCTCAAACAGAATTTTCTACTTTTAGTACCACCGAGTTATCAATAGATGGCGCCACCGTTGCTTCTAATGTAGCGACCTCTACTTCGAAGAATTTAGATTCTATGTTCCGTCGAGATGTGTATTTAATATAAACAATAGAATATTTAAAAATAGCTATTAATTTTATTATCACCATGGAAATGTTTACTGACACTTATATATA